AAAAAAAAAAAAAGGAGTTCTGGTTAAGAATCAAGATGGGTTTCTGGCTGCACAAGCCCCTCCCACTCCTTCCAGCCTTGGAGGAGAAACTAAATAGGAAGAGAAAACCCTGTAGTACAACCGTCCTCACTTATTGGCAGGGACTCTATTCTCAGATACTCAATGGAGGCCTGAAACTACAGAAAGTACAGAATCCTATATATAACATGTTTTTTTTTCATAAACAAACATATCTTTATAAATTAGACACAATAAAAAATGAACAACAATTGTTGATCTGCTACCTCAGGTTTTTTTCAGACCTTGTTCCCCAGGATTCCCTGATGACATTTAAAAAGAAAAGAGAGTGTGATATTAAAACAAACAGACAACTGCTTGCTTAACTCTTTGTGAGGCAGAGCAGTCTTAAAATCTAGGCTAGGAGGGATTACAGGGGCATCTTACAGGGTGGGGGCAAAACCCTCCATCCGAGAGGAACCTGTGGGGAACAGCCTTGGTTGGAATCAACAGGGATTCTGGCCACATGTGATTTTTTWAAAAATATTTTTTAGTTGTAAATGGATCTTTTATTTCATTTATTTATTTATATGCGATGCTAAGGAGGGAACCCAGGGCCTCACACATGCCAGGCAAATGCTCTACCACTGAGCCACAGCTCCAGCCCCACCACATGTGATTTTGAAGAAAGTAATTTATAAAAGAATCCAATGCTTATCGGATGGTTCTTATGCTTCTTCTTTCATCTTGTGTAGTGAGGATGTCATCTGTTTATAAGATAGGCTGAACAGAAATCCTCACTACCTCTTGGCAACTAAACTCGAGTCGGTGGAGACTTTTAAATCAGGACCAGGCTTCATGTATTCCGGTGCTGCATTCAGGAGGAGACCCTGAGAGCCTCCATGTTTGAATGGCTGATGTGAGGCAATGGCTTCAGCATGGCACGTAGCCAGCCTCTGCCTGAAGCTGAGCACAGGGCTCAGGGTCAAACTTCTTCCTACTTTCAGCCCTCAGTACCCTCACTTGCACATACCTTCTCCCCAYACCTTAGTCAGCTGGGTGAGGGGTAACACTTGTCTTCCTCGTGGGGAAATGCCGCCTTCCTCAGATATATTTACTGTGCTGACTTGAGGCCCTCTGGTGCTCAGTCACATGCAGGTGAGCTTGTCCCTCCCAGTGACCTTGCTGGGGCCCCATGCTCTAGCAGAGCTGATAGCTGTCTTATCCCTCCCACACTGGAGAAACCCTACATTCACAGCCTTCAAACTTACTATCTTTCCTTCTCAGAGGTTCTTCTGTCCCCTTTATTAAAAAAAAAAAAATCCACCCTGTATTGAAAACTGCCAGCGTTACTCTCTCCTTCCCCACAAAAGCCTCTTGGAGGAGAGATGAGGCTTAGCCCCAAGAACCAAACTTGATGCCTGACTTATTAATAACTGCCATCGGCTGCCTAATTTCCATAAAGCTGAAGACTGAGTATTGAAAGATTTCTTAAAGGATTTGGGTATCTTCTATCAAGTTGTCTTCCTGGTTGGTAAATGTCTGCCTTGGGAGTGGGGAAGGGTAAGGGGTGTGGCAGAGGGTAGCAGATCGGCAAGCCACCCTCCAGACCACTTGGGCCTGATCTCTTCTCACCTCTTAAGTTTCTAAAGAATCCTGTAGTGGGTCCCTCAAATAGGGAAAGCATTAGAGTCATTAGAGGTCATAACCTTTTATTTCCAAGTCTTTAAAGTTGTGGGGTTTGTATGGCTTGGCTTAGGAGACTGAGACCTACAGGCTGGGGTGTATCTGACATAACTTCTCTACAAGCTTACCAGCTGCTGGGCCCTTCCAGGAAACAGGGCCTCCCCTGAAGCAGTTCGTCTGTTCAGGCCTCAGTTATCAGTTCAGCTCAGAGGTTCACTGTCACCTAAACCCTGTGCTAGAGTGGGTACAGTCTGCCCTCGCAGATACTGGATCCTCTTGGCTGTTCTAATTGTTTCTTTTTTGTCTATCTTGCCTCTATTCCAGGGATCCAGCTGTCATCGTATCCAGGGAGCCCTCCTCTTCCTCCTCCTGCTGACACTCTACCATCGAAGTTGCTGGTTGTTGCTAAGGTTGCCTCCATGGTAACATGTATATCCTGTTTACACCTTCATCTGGGCAAGTCAGTCTAAACTAGGAACCTACCTACTCTGGACACCACTTCCATCACCACCCAGGGGACACCAATCATCGTGACACAAGGTCCGCCTTCTACTCAGTTCCCCCATCCTCTTCCTCCTTTCACTGCCAGGCTTCATACAAAAGAAAGGATCTAGGTTTGGGGTTGCTACCCTGAAGCTTACTGCACAAGATATAGTCAATCTCTATTCWCCCTGGGCCCCCAGAGAAGCAAGAAGCAGGAAGAAGTGGGGACAAGAAGGCAGGAGGCACTGATTGGTTGAAGGGAAACTCCTCATCTTCTCTGGTTGAAGGGCTGGTAACCACAAGCAAAATGACGAACCCATTAGAACATAACTTGCCGTCCAACTCAATAGCCGAAAGTCATGAAGGGGACTTTGGCTGCACATTAATGGAACTGAGGAAGCTCATGGAGCTGCGTTCAAGTGATGGACTGAACGAGATCAATGTCCACTATGGAGGTGTACAGAATATCTGCAATAGACTGAAAACCTCCCCTGTGGAAGGTAAAGGCCATTTCAGGGGTGGTGGAATTGGAGAAAGGTAGCTAATATCTCACAATATTGTCTTCCAGCTTCTAGGGAAGGTACATTTCTGGAGACCCCATTGGTATATTTTTGTCTGGTGGGAAAAGTGTGGCATCTGAAGCTCTAAAAGGAGGTGAGGCCATGAAGAGCCATTATTTTTTTCCCAAAAAATAATATTTAGGGACTGTGGCATTCTCTGAAAACATTCTTTCCTCATTTTTCTGTATCAGTATACAGAAAGGAGGATATTTATCTTATAAATGTTTATGGTATAAATGCTTTTATCAGCTAATAATCATCTAGTCCTTTATTCTGTATCAGTCTGATTTTGAAAGAGTTCCAAGATAATCCTTCCTCCACTGATCTTCAAGTGTAATGGGGAAAGGGCGCAAAAAAAGCGAATAGTCCGTCTACACATTTGAGCACTTTGTTGTACACAGAAATGGGATGGCATATTATAAGGTATCCATATCTTTGAATCACCCACTCTTTTCTGTCAGGGAATTATAAATGATTTTTTTTTCCAACCCTGCTTGATACACTAATAATATAATTCTTCTTTATTCTTAAAAGAGAATGAAAAAAATGTAGCTTCATGCATGCCTAGCTCTGCCCAAGTGCCTAGTGCACCATGGTGTTATGAAATTTTGCCTCATCAAAATGTAGAGAACAAAAGGGAACTTGCTTTCTCACTTTGGCTGGGTTGCAGCATCTTTGTAGCAAATTCTTTGTGGGCCCTGTGTGTCAGGCAGTCCATGATTGAGGAACATGAGCTGGAGCAAAGATCCTACCCTTTAGAGGCCTTCAGCCTCTTGTGGTCTCCTATTTCTGAGCTCTCCTCAGAGGTCACATCGTATTTCTAGTGAATTCGAAGAAGAGGTTTTGACTCTTAGCCATCATTGTATTGTAAGTTAGTCACTTGGAGTCTAGACTCTGTGCGTGGGTGGGTGTGCGTGCTCGCATGCGCACATGCAAGCTCAGTGCTGGGAATGGACTCCAGAGTTTCCTTGTGCATGCTAAGCAAGTGCTATACCACTAAGCTACACCCCCATCGTGACTCTAGACTTTGTGATAAAAAAGAGGCAGAGATTTTTACATAGATATGTGCATATTGCCCATCTCTTGTTTTCTTTGTAAACTAAGAGTGCTTCCCTGCATGTTCTCTTACTTTTAGAATTCAGTTTCCTATCTCATAAGCTTTGAGTTCAAGTATTAGTTCTACCATTTGAATAGCACAGAACAGTTTACTCAGCCTCCCCGAATCAAACAGATAATACCTAGCCCACCGAGTTTTGGGGATTAAATAATATAATGTATGTATAAGTCCAAATTTATAATAGGTGTTCAATAAATTAGTTGTCTCAGATTAAAATAGATCCATGTGTCTGGAGATATTTGCTAGAATATGAGTACCTCTGAAGTGCAATTATCATAGCTGATGAGGTTACTACATGTGTAACTGCAACTTCTTTCTATTTTCTCCACTCACTTTAGGATCATAGAAAGACACCTGGTGAAGGCGGCTTTCATGTGGCTCAGTCTCCGCCTTTTTACTGGTATCTAATGACTGCCCTTTGGGCACTGCCGGGCTCTTGTCAGCTGAAGTTCTTTATTTGGTAACTTTTGCGCAGTATTGACCTTAATGAAAGTCTGTACCTAATTATGTTCTCACTGAGATTAGGCAGTGTTTTTACAAACACCCGTCAGAATTTAAGCAGGATCTTTCTTTTTCCCTTTAGTAGGCTGTTCTGGTCAGTTGTTTCTCTTACAAAATGGAACTTAGGGTCCAAATAAGCTGCAACCTGGGGATCTCCTAATAGCAGGACCCAGACTTTTCTCCAATTTTCTACTTTTCCAAATCCTTTCCTAGTGCTGCAACTATTTACTATCCGGTTCTCAGAAAGCTTCCATCCCAAAGGATGTTGTACTTTTCTCGCAGCTCTGGATATCAAATGTTATAAACATAGTTAATGCTTTTGGATTCCTCACCAGTTCCCATTTCAGTCCTATAGCTAAAAGCCACCCCTTCTGGTGGCTGGTGCCTCTCTTGCTATAGACTCAAGTGGTGCCAACTTCTCAGGTCTCCTACCACTGACACAGTTGTCCACTGCCTTGCTCCTGCTTCCTTAGATCACAAATATGTGTCCTGATTTGTTTTCATGTAAGATTTACAATAGGGTTTATTCTGCAGCTAAGAAGGCAGGGTATTGGGAACAACCTTTCCATTAGTAATTTTTTAGCCCCTAATTTCAATAGTGACCCCCTGGGATGGGAGACAAAGGATTAGGAACAAAGGACACAGAACAGCTAAGGCACAGGAATCTCTACCCAGGCAAGAGTGATATTGAGCTATTTAGTTGAGCAGGCAGAGAAAAGAGTATCAGTATCTGGGTACGTGTCCCCCTTCATCAGATGCTATTAAAAGCCAGCTTATTCACAGAAGACCACACTCAGGTGCCTGACAGCCTAGCATAATTTTGTTATCTGTGGGAGATCCTATAGACTAGTAATAGGAAAAAAGAGATTACCTGTGCTTGAATTCTGGTTGGAAACCAATGTAAAGTAAATATGGAATGATTGGAGCTGGGTGTTAGGATGCATGCATGTGGTTCTAGCTACTCAGGATGCAGGGGCAGGAAGATCTTTCAAATCCACAAGTTCAAATTCAGTCTAGGCTACATATAGTGAGACCCCCATCTCAAAAAAAAATGGGGGGGAGCCTGGGTGCGTGGCACATATCTGCAATCCCAGCAGCTCTGGAGGCTCAGGCAGACTGGTTCATAGAGTATGGCCCTTTTATTTTTTGTGGAATGATTGCATATTTAATATAGACTTAGGGCTGGGGATGTGGCTCAAGCGGTAGCACGCTCGCCTGGCATGCGTGCGGCCCGGGTTCGATCCTCAGCACCACATACCAACAAAGATGTTGTGTCTGCCGAGAACTAAAAAATAAATATTAAA